CATATTCTCCTATACACCACTTCTTTTCTGTCTTTATCTGTTTTGTGATATTACTTTGGCTTTTGCTTGTGGATCTCGTTGCTGGATTGATTGTGCAATTGTAAGGTGATATCAAGGTTGTAATTGATAAGGTAAATCGATTTGGAGGAGATTCGTGGACTGTGTATGAAATTTCTTATGTTTTGGTTTTGGTTTGTGGGTAAGGACTAAGGAATAAGGATGATGTTGGAAATTTGGTTGAATTGAACTAACCAAGTCAAACCGGTTTTGGGTTGGTCCGACCAACCGGTTTGGTATTAGACCGACCGAACCGATATTCTAATTCCGTGAAGGGACACATCCCTTTGGTCTAGTGGCGGTTGCATTATTTTATGGATAAGGATAACCTTATGGATAGAGACAACCCTTCATATGGATAAGGATAACCTTTCATATGGATAGAGGCAACCTTTCGTATGGATAAAGACAACCTTTCGTATGGATAAAGGCAACCTTTCATGAAACAATGCATGGATTCGGCCCCTATAAATATGTGTGGGGTGGATGATGCCACATACCATCAAACATATTCTTCTTCTTTCTTCCAAAAATTTCTAAGTATGCTTTAGTGTTCTTGAGCCTGGAACCTAAAGTGGTGATAGTTTTATCCTCGGGAGAAATTTCCTGTAACCCTAGGCTTGTTGAGGGTGGAAATATTCTTTTCGGAAAGTGAACGTTGTTCACGGCTCTATCACAATCCTGGTCACCCGGTCTCGGGCTATCTTACATGTACCCTCGTCCCTAAAAGTCCCAACAGATGGCTATTTGGGGTAGTCCATTTATTGACTATTAAGAAGACCCTCTTTTGTTTCTTATGAATGTTTTTTATTTTGACTTTCATGAATGGTTTGGTCGGTCTCCTGATTCATTTTATCTTTGTTTGCCTTATTAATCCAAGCGGTTTTTGAATAAAAAATTATAAGTAGGATAATTGATTTGTTTCGAAACGTTAATAATTCTTAGGTTTCTTCGAACTCCATGGTGATTGTCGCAACACCTCTTTTTTCCCAATGACAAATCATGGGTTGTTTGTATTGATGATTTGGGTGTGTAATTTGGGCCAAATAACATGTGTGGCTGAAGAAAAAAAGATGCAACATTTGACACCTATCATTCTCCAAATATCACAAACCTGTTATTTGACAAATATCAGGGGAGGACTTATATTCTCAAAATAACAAGTTATTGTAATTTTTTATTCCAGTTATGTCATCTTTCCTTTTTTTATAAATCTCAAACTAGCTTCTAATTTTTAGTCCAACTTTTTGTCTCTTCTTTCCCAATTATCCCCATAACCATTATTTATTGCCCCTATTACCTTAATTATGTTTAACACTAACAAAAATTCAATATATCTTGATACACTATTCTATTAAAAGACATAAACTCCGTACATATTAGTACCACATACATTTAAAAAATATATTTATAACTAATTTGAATCTTTTAACACACTATGATGTTAAAACATCGTATAGAACTCCGTACATATCAATACCTATAACATAAGTATGTTGACCAAGCACACACACACTAGCAAGAGATTGGGTTAAGAAGGATAAATTGGTAAAATAACAAATTTGAGTGCAAATACTACAAAACAAATAACAGGTATTGTGGCATGTGATATTTGTGTGGTAATTACTCGCAAATTACAGGTTTGACAAGTACCACATCCAAACGACTCATGGGAGAAGTGTTAAGTCCTGAGAATGATAGTGGGCCTGGGCAAGCATTCTAGTCATAAGGACTGGGTATAAGCCCATTGGTGAAGTGTCAGGCCCTTATGTTCCTTATTGAAACTTAGAGCCTAGAGTATCTTATGGGCCATTTGGACCTTTTGGTTGTCAGTACTGCGGCCTTCAGAGTTCAAGGATTAGACAAAATGACCATTTACCACTACTTCCATTCCATGCCATGTTCGATCAGAAATAACCTGAAATCTTGGTCCGAAAGAGTTTTAACATTTTTTTTAATGAAGGTGAATATGAATGGTAGTCTTTCAGTTGGCAAAAGGTAAAATTTTGATGTAAATAGATTGTAACTAGTAGATTGTGGCAATGTCGTAATAAAAAGGTGTAGGGTTTGGGTTTATTGACTTTCGAATTGTTCTTTTCACTGTAGTAGTAATTGCTGATGTTGTGTATGAAAAATACAACCACTATATATAAAACTTGAGAACTAGTTGACACGAGTTAGAAGAAATGCGTCTTTAATGTATCTCAAACTAATACATTAAAAGCATTTGAAGTAATAATGTACATAGAAGTAACATGGTGGATTTGGAAAATAAAAGAAAAAAGTAACTCAACAAGATCATAGTGGACTTGGTGTCCAAAGATTATTACTGATGATGAAAACATGTACCAAGTGTTTTTAAAGGTTTGTGCCCATAAATATAATCAAGTAGATAAAGTAAACTTCGAAAGAAAGACCGATATTTTTGCAAAAAATTTCTAAATGGTTTAAAGACGGATAAATATGACTTCATTCGAGTTAGTGTCTTGACTTTTATTTTATCGAGTCTACTCTTTAAGTTGGACTACTAGTGAACTGAAGGGTATATCAGGGCTCACTAGATTTGTTAATAATATCTGAATCGATAGAGTTTTAATTATATAATTGAAGATGCAACAAAAAAAAAATTCCATTGAACAAGTACTATATCAAATTTAACCTTTCTAATAAGTAATAACCCTATCATCCAAATTTATATAGTTGGTAAGTGAATCTGCATCTTAAAGTTCGTAAAAAAAAGGACAGTAATACGAGAAATTACGAACTGCGAATCTTAAAGCAATTCATGATTAGAATTATTTGAAAGAAAACACCTCTACTCTACTGTTGGTTGTGGAAGCAAGGGGATTTGTTCTCACATTGTTAGCCTCCTGTTTTGGGTTTTCTTTTGTTAGAGATCAATCTAATTCCAGTTCTTTTTATGACTTATGCTTTTGTTTTAGATTGCTCTGACTTTGGACTCCAGTGTTGCTCTGTTTCGAGCTTTCATTGTGTTTCTGCCCCTTGTAACCGTGATTTCCAATGCAATACAAGTGTTCCTCTTGTCAAAAAAAAAAAAAATACTTATGCTGTTTTCTGGTCGTTGGTGGGTCATATCATAAAACGCAGCCCACTCTGCCTCTGGCCCAGCAGCAAATTGCTGTAGGTTTAGGCTTAATAGTAGCCGCTAATAATATCTGCTTTAGGTAATTTGGGCCCATATATACATAAGGGCTAAGGCCGGCGGGGGCTCGTCCATCCCATCAGTTCATCGCCAAAAGCTGAAAGGGCTTAGCATCTGGAATTATGTTTGTTATCTAATACCTTATTTCATCTTCTGGTGACATTTTAATTACTTGATGGATGGAACATAATCTACACTGATGCTAAGTTAATTAGAGTACCTCATTGATTACCATTAAACCAGATACAGGTTTTCTTGTTCAGCAGCTTTCGCATATTTAGTCTACTAACTAACCATTAGTTCATCTGTCAGCTTTGTCGACAGAGCATTAATCAACAACACACTAAACATCTAGATAGAGGTGGAAGAAGAGACTGTGATCGAGGGACCTCATTTTTCTTGAACTTGTTCACTGTAAACCATTCGACGTAATTAACTAGTACTTGATTGTATAAGTTGCATGTAGTATATTTGCAGCAAAGGGACGGGACGGGAAGCTCCCTAGCTGCTGAGAGCTGATGATATCATATGCATGTCACTCTCTTCCACTTTCCTCCTCTCAAAATGGGTGAACAACAGTTTAGTCTAACGGTTGTGTCGTTAGTTTTTAATTTAATTTGGAAAGTCGCAGGTTAAAATATATCTTAAAATAACACTTATACAGACCGTTTGGTACTAAATGAATCAAGAATTCATTTCATTGTAAAATGAATTACCGTGTAGAATTCATTGTCAGATGAAATATTGTGTTTGGTATGGCATATTCAAATCTGTAGAAATAAAATGAATTGTCGTGTAGAATTCATTTTCAAATGAATTTATGTGTTTGGTACGTCATATATATAAGTAATTTAGTTCATAAAGAGGATAATTATGTCATTCTATTATAATTAGTAAATATTTGTGGAATTCATTTGGAAATTCCATCTCAATTTCTCAGAATTGCTATAACTAGTACCAATGACATAGAATTCAAAATTTAGAATTGAAAATGAATTCTTTTTTTTTTTTGTAGAATCGCGGGACGCTTAAAGGGCGGCCCAACCTTTATACTGGAATAGACCGGGGTGTTTGAACCCCAATACAGTCATGGTACAGCCAATACGCTAACGTACTGTCAGGAGCTGTAACTCTATGCAAACCAATCGGCAACACATGCCCCGAATCAGCTAGGTGGTCAGCAACGACATTTGCCTCTCTAAAAACATGGTGAATTTGAACCTGCCAATCTCGACTAAGCCAACGTCTTTTAAATACCAAACACAAAAATGTTTCATTTCAAAATGAATTTATCAAAACTTATAGAATTCATTTATACCAAACGATACGTTAACAATAAAATTAAATCTATAACACTCTCTTAGTAAAAAAGGTAATTGCTGAAGAACCAAGTATATGAAAATGTTTATCTCGAGTAGGTATAGCTGTATGGTTCTTCAATACTCTCATCCCAAATCATTGTACGATGACTAGCTTGTCTGGTAAAAACAGCCCTACAAGGCTACAATGCGATTAACACAATTGAATAAACAACGAGAGCCCTACACAAGCAGCAGACAGACACCACTAACCCCCAATTATAAAATATTATTTGATATGTACACAATTAGTAAAGCGCAACATAATGGCCATTCAAAATCATTATATATTGTGCTCTGTCGACATATTTTTTAATATGATTATTTGTATGAACCGAAATGGCATCCCCCTTAAAAATATTGTACACAAAGGTTACCAGATTTGGCAGGGTTTCCCAAATTTGAATAAGTATTGGATCGAAGTCCAATTGCATGCCCATTTCTGCCATCGTCATTGCATACACAAAACCCATATTCGGGTATAAAATATGGAGCCATGAATTTGCTTTCCTAGCTCAACAGGCTCCACAGTCCACTTTCATACAAACCATAACGCAGCTTTCTTTTTGTAGACAATATAAAGCACAAACCAAACTTACTAAATTGCTTTGGGACTACATATGAAAACCACACATAGACATACATATGATCACCATGACCACATTTTTCTAGTCAGTCTGCAAATCCACAGAAACAGACACAACCCTAGATAATTAGTAGAGTGACCCATCAACCAGATGTTCCATCACTTCTCTCGAGAAGGTTAAGATTACAATTCTTCACCTCTATCTTATTGGAAAGAAAGAGCAAATCCAAACATTAATAGAAAGCTTAAGCAAACCCATGAGCTCCATCTCATTTTTTTTTTTTTTAAATTTCATGCATCATAATTAATGAAGCCCACAACAATAAGGTTATGATCAAGCTAGTCTTGTTGATCCTCAAACAAGTATCCCAGAGAAGAATTTCCTCCAGGAACTGACTTCACTTTTGTCGAGGGACGATCCTGCACGCAGTGGTGAAAAAATACAAAAATCATAGTCATTAACAGCGAAGCTAGGATTTTGAGTATGGAGAAGATAGAAACAAAAAAAAAATTACAGCATTTTGCTAAGAACCGGATCTACATTTTGAAAGAACAAAAAATTACAGCATTCATCCTTTTTCTACTTCTTCTTCCAAGTGCAGGATAACTCCAAGGGGTTGCGGTTTCTTATTTAAACTTCTTTTTTACTGGAGCGTTTAGATCATCCTATCATATATTTTTTTCCTTTAGATTCAATCATCCTAACATTTTAATTATAATGTTTATTAATTAACATAGTATATACTATAATCTCAAACCTAATGTCGATGAAACTATATATAATCTCTTCTAAACCACATGTAGCTCGGTCTTTGATAGTCATTAGCTAAGTAACTTCAAACAAATATTTGATTAGAAACTAAGATTAAGGTACAAATCTTGAGCTCCCAATCTCTCACATCATGATAAGGCAGGATTTATTCTTCATTTCTCATAATAAAAAAAAAAAAAAAGCAGAACTCACAGTGATGAAGTTGCCTGAATTCTGTCCATGAGCCCTGGGATAGTTGTTTGAAGGGGAGGGCTTCTGGAGATCATTTCCCGGCGGTCGTTGGTCAGCGGTCAGCGGCGGCGCGTGAAGATCATCACGATCAGGCGCCTGCATCATTTCTAAGTCAACTCCGTAGGGCGGGAGGTTGACCGGCTGCCGGGAAGGGGATGGTCGCTGTCCTCGAGGTGGTTCTTTCTCGCCGGACCCGAAAAGGTAGCCCAGGGAGCTCTGCCCGCCGCCGTAGCTCCCTCCTCTGCTCATTCCTGCGGCCTGACTCTTTGAATTCGGATCTGCTAAACTAATTACTTATTAATGTTATTGTATTTTACCACAAGGGAAGAAGAAGAACCCTAGGATGGATTGATTTATAGAGTTGGAGAAGAGATATGTAAACAAATGTGGCTACAGTCCAGTAGGGACTTTTGTTTCTGTTTTGTGAATGATTGGTAGTGATTAGGTTTGTGTTTGTCTGCTTTTTCATCATGACTTTTTTCGCAATATTTTTAGATATATCTTATTAGAGAGAGGCAAAACCCATAAAGCTAGCCATAATAGTGAATGAGTTAGATCTCAATAATTTGAGTATTGCTGAAAAAAAAGAAAGAGGTAATTATTGGCTTGGTTATTTGGTTGGGTTTCTAAGTTAACTAGCAAAAAAGCAATTTTTCAATGAGTCGTAAGATATGTTAGGCTAAAAATTTATGAAAAATTCCGGGAAAATTAGGAACATTTTAGTAGTTTAGGCATATCTTTTTGTGTTCCGTAGATTCGACGAGTACGTGTGATATCCAAAGTTTTTTCATTACTCAGTCCAATTAACTTTGTATTTGACCATTTAGATAAAATATTCACTATTAGTGAGTAATGACTTATCAATGGGGTGGTGTATCCTAAGAAACTAACCACTAGCTATATGGTGGATTCACAATTATTTACCCTAAGAACAAACTATTAACATAATCAACTTTAAGAAATTTTGTCATGTGGAGGAATCTAAGGAAAATTTTGGACAGGATAAGAATCCAACGACAACAACCCAAAAAGACTACTATATAAAGGGGTAGCTAGAAATTTATCAGAATAAAATATTAAACAAAAAGTGACAGAACCACTGTTGCAGCTGATTAATCTCAAAGACAAAAGAAGGTGGTTATTAGTAATCATAGTCTCTGTTGGTCGGGCTACCTATATAAATTCTGGAATCTGGATACGCTTATTAGTTATTACTCCAGCGATATATGTCAACCATATATAGCTTTTGATCTCTTGTTTAATTTTATTTCTTATGCTCGATTGTCTTTGGGCTACTTTCAATTTAATTCAAGTCCAAGAAATAGCAACTCAAGTTAGAAAGAAGGAGAATAGAACTTCCATGTGATTCCACTTTTGAACTTCTGAGCAAAAAATGTCGACTAAGTACCAATAACATTATCCCCATTAGGCGTAACTAACGATTCAGGTACATTCTAACTCTAAATATGCATGAAGTACTTATTGCTATAATATATAATTATGTTGACAATTCTTATTTAAAAAGTTCATCGATGTAGACAACCTTGGGTACTATAACGGGTCGTTTGGATCCAGAAATGTGATCTGAGAAATTTCGTACCCAATTTCCTTATTAAAAATCTCGGAAATTTAAAGTGTCGGTTTTCAACAATTATTTTGTTTGTTTATGGCCCCAGAATTTCTTAGCCAACAATTTAATTTTTCATAGAAAATGGCAAAATACAACTTTGTCATTTTCTACTCCTCTTCTTCGCAAATACCCTCCGACCTCTCTCATGTTGCTCCTCTCATCATTTGGTGCTTTCAATCGTATCTCCCTAGCAATTTCTTCCTTTCGCCTCCCCCAATTTGAACCTTAATTTTGTCGAACCCAAAACTCAAAACTATTGCATGCCAATTTGCAACTTGCCAGCCTCGATGAACCCCAAATCCGGATCGATGACTTCTCTTGCCGGAGCTTGCCACATGCCTGGAAGAACCCTCCCATCGGCTGGAATTAGATGAATCATTAGAGGTAGACTAATTTCTAGGGGATTTGATATTGCAACAGTCCTTAAAGTCTTCCGGAAACCCCAAAAGCCATAATGAATGACGAAGATGGTTGGTGACCATAGAACCTCTTTGCTATGAAGCCCAAAGCTTTGTTTAAAGACGAGGAACCGAGAAACCAGAACCCATAACAATGTATGCCTCCAGCGGGAGCTCCAAATCTTGTCAGAGGAAGAAGCATCCATCGTCGTCCCACCTTTTTTACTCATCGGAGGAGCAGAGACGTGGATGGCCGATTGTTCCGTTGGCGGTGTTCGTGAAGAGTGGATTGGAAAGGAGGGAAGAAGGTGAAGGATAAGATTGGAAGATACAAAAAAGGAAACCAAATATTTTGAAATAGTTGGGGGTAATCAGCTATTTTGAAATCCCTAATGAGTAGAATTTCAAAAATTTTGATGATTAAAATCTATTAATTTTTGGAGCCTTTCCAAACGACGAAATCTGAAGAAATCCTGGAATGATAGGAATTGTGGCAGAATCTCTATCTAAACTTCCTAATTCAAACGACCCTAAGTATTTTTCTGGTATATATGTTAAGAATGTTCGTTTTGTGGATTACAAGAGACTCAGTTACATTCATTTCAAGATTGTGAATGAGCTAGTCTTATTTAGTGGGTCTCAGCCACCTTTAGCATTTGTTCCATTTAGGATATGGAACAGGTTGTGCGATCTTGTGGTGTAAGGAGCGGTGAAATGTTAATATGAAGACCAACTCGCTCACCTTGGGACTTTCATGTGCTTTCTGTGGAAGGAACGGAACAACCAATTATTCAATAATTCCAAGCTTGAAGAGTGGGAGATTGTGGTGAAGTCGACAAACTACCACATTGAGTATAAAAAGCACCAACAGATTTCGGTCGTCGATGCGGCCTCCCCTAGTTCGACTATGAAGATGAGGAAATGGGAGAGGTGGTCGATTGGGCACTACAAGATCTATATCGATATTTTCATCTTGACTGATCAGGGAACGATGTTTGATGTTGTGATCCAAGACTGTAGGTAATTGTGTCCTCACATTGGTGCGTACGAACGTATCCAATGGGGAACATTGATTGCAGAAGCTCGAGCTTTACTCATTTGCTTGGAATTGCTCGAGGAGCACCATCTTCGTCTAACGATACTACAGAGTGATAGTCAAACTTTATTGTGGATTTGGATCGAGAAGCACACAATGAAGACGGAAGGAGTTTGCGAAGAGATGAGAGAGAGACAATGAAGCGAATTGGAGAGGCTAAGTGGACTTTTGCGAGAAGAAAGTGTAATGCAGCTTCTTATTTGATGATCCACACTATGGGTTGTTTGGATGAGGTATTTGAGTGAGTTATTTGAGTTGTTTGAACTCAAATAACTCGTTTGGCAACATTTTACTCAAATGAGTTATTTGGGCTGTGATTTATTTACTATACGAGATATTTCGAAAAAGCAGAGAGACAAAACTAGTTATTTCGAAATAACTCATTATTTCGAAATGCTACCGTTTTGTCTCTCTGTTTTTTTCAAATACCACATATGTATGGTTCAACCAAACGAGATACTTTAATCCAATTACCACTAAAATAATATCAAAATACCACATGAACAATTAATGGGTTAGTTGACTCTACAAATAATTGACAATTAATTCGTTATATGACCCCAATGTTTTGGCTAGTCAATAGATTCGGGTCGATAGAGCCCTATTTTCCTGCTACTGCAATTGTGGGACGACTGTGCTTGCACGGTTATGAATTAAAATACTATACCGAAGTCTAGTAAAAAAAGGTCTTCCCACCAAATTTTTTTACTTGGTGTAATCTGAAGTAGTGACGTAGCTCAAAATTTTAGAAAAATATATTTGAGCTCCCCCTTAAACATCCAATCACTGTAAGTTCATGAAAAACCCCTTTGGATTACATATAGAATGATCCAAGGGTCTTAAGTTAACTCCAATAATTAAGTAGGTACAAAAGTTAGTAATTCCTTAACACCGGAACAAGACATTGTTCGCCCATTTTTATGGAATTCTGTGGCCCTATTGCTTCGTGCGCAATATATATAGCTAAAATTCTATATAAAAATTAAAAAGTTAAAATACATAGCTAAACGAAGAAATTAAGGAGATTCCAACAAGAAACCAAAAAAAGTGTGACAGTACCTCACTATCTTAAGGAAAAGTCGATCCATTCCAATGAGCGACTGGCAGTTGGTGCTACTGTGAGTTATGCCTCAGTGTTATCAATTCACTGTTGTTTCAGACAGAAATATGTGGGATTGGCCATTAATAGATTGCTAGCTAGACATGGTGGTTTTAACTTTTAAGAATATCTATATCTTCATCCATGAAATTAGTTTATGAGTAGTTGCTATCATCACTACCTAATGCAAATTATGTTGATGACCATAAATGGTTCACCATGACATCCGTTCCAAGTGTGAATAGAAGGTAGTTTTACTTGTTCATACATCCTATGTTACCACGGAAGAACGTAACTAGTACAAGATGTATATTAATTAGTAAAAGTTGGCATCTGCAATTTCATAAAATAATACGTGATAATGATTTGATTCGACGTTTTTGCCACACAAATATATTGCTAGCCTGTAATAAACTTTGTTATTTTGTATCAACTCTTTTTAATACTTTTATTCTCTCATCGTTCAGATCTCTGGCTTCACCATCATTAAACACCCAACGCACATAGGTGTGTTTGTTCAGCAAGTATACCAGGCCCATGCATTCGTCATAAAAAAAAGTACATGTTACCACCAAATGACTCCACCTTAATGGGACCATAATTATCAAAAAATGTTAGCTGATCAAGTTTAGTCTTCCTTTGTGCAAAGGGAGTATATATGAAAGAAACTCCATGATGCTTTCTCACTAAGCAACTATCAAGAGTGTCGAGTGAAAGACCTTTTTATGCAACGGGAAAGAGAGGATTATCTCTACACAGTTTCCAACCCTGATTACCAATAGTAACACTGATTGGAAGTCCAACAATTATAATTGTGGCAATAGCTATCATTTTACGATGGCAGAAATTACAATATAAAGTTTCTCACGTCCCATAACCTAAATTCCTCGAGGCATTTTACATTCCACTAATTAAAATCACATCATTGTAATTTGTAGCTCTAAAATTAAAACCTTTAATAATTTCTATTCATAAATCTAATATTTTCAACGTACAATCAAATGTCACAGAAGTTAGAAGTGGGCAGGCATTTGGACAAGACCATTCATTTGACACTATTTAGTGATTAAGGAAGTGGGCCTTGATTGATTGTTTTGGAGTGGCAAATATCTGATATTTATTTTAGTG